CACACACGAAACCACCCGCATAATCATTAGTGCTTTGAAGAGGCTGCATATTGATTCAATACCTGTCTTCTTTTTTTCAGAACCTTCGCTCTCACGAAAAGAAGACAATTCAAAGACAATCTTTGCAAGATCAAAACTCAGAACAAATTCTCGTTCCTGTCCGATACGTTCCTTGAAATTCCTCCGACGGTGATAACAAAAACGTGTTGTGGTCCTATCTTAACCAGATTACAGAACAACCGAATCCGGTGAAACCGATCCTGAGTAACAGTAGATTGAAGGAGAAAGGAGTTCCGACAGGAATTCCAGTTTGATTTGAGCGACATAAAAAAGAGTTGTCAAGGGAATCATTAAAAGAAAAACACCAAAAAACCCCCTGACCAAATGAGGTTCCACGTCAACTGCCATTTTGATCAACGTACAAGCACAAACATGACGTAAAAACTTCAGATAGTACCACATGACATTTATCAACTCATTTCATTTTCACTCCTGCTGCTTAAGGGAACAGCCAAAAGAGACACAGTGTTTTCCAGGACATTGTCTTCCATTCAACAGCAACGTTGCAAAAGCTTCCAACTTCTCAATCCGAACTTTGACCCCGCCGAAAGCTCTTTGACCCCGTCTCGGGTCACATATTCCAGACATATCCGTGGGTGTGGCTTCTGGCAGGGACCACGTACATGTTTGACCACCCCGAGGACCACCACCACAACCACCACCACCAACATCACCAGCAGCAGCAACAACAGCACCACCGCGGCAACACCGACCAGATGAAAGAGGAGGCTCTCAACGGTCAGCTGTCAGGCATCAGAAACTGGATGCAGCCCACCGTGGTGGACCCGGCTTCGGCCAAGTGAGTTTCTTTTCTTTTTCTTTTTTTTTCTTTCTTTTCTTATCTTCACTTTTCTTTTCTTTTTTTTCCTTTTCTTTTTTTTTCATAAAGGATCTTTTGATTTTCTTTTCACATATTGCGCTGTCACCGTTTCTTATGTTCACAAAAATTTTAAGAACAGCAGCAACAACAAAAAACAACAACAACAACGATATAATATTAAAAGATAATAGCTTAAATAATCACAACATCATTCGCATAAACAAAACAGAAAAGCTACAACAATAGGAACACCACCACTAAGACATAATAATAATAATAATAATAATAATAATGACAAAAATAACATCAGCAGCATGAACTGAAACAACAACTGCAAGAGCAAAAACAACAACAACAACAACAATAACAACAACGACAACAACAGCAACAACAACAACATCGATAACAACAACAAAACAACAACAACAACATGGATGTCCATAACAACTAAAACGACAGGGACAACGATGTAACTTATAGTTGAAAAGTAATAACAAGTAATAACAGTAATGATGATGATGATGATGATGATGATGGTGGTGATGATGATGATGATGATGATGATGATGATGATGATGATGATGATGATGATTGTGGTTGACATCACAATTATTTTACTTAAATAT